AATCACATTTATATATTCTGGCAACTTATCCGTTGTGTCCTCTCATGACCTGCTACATTTAGCCTCATTAAAAGACTTTGCACTCCGGAAGCCCCTCTATGGGAGCGGGCCCCTTGCTGATTAGCATTTATTGCTTATTCACACGACCTCGCTTGCTGATTCACACCTTTCAATTACTGTGCAACACCCTCTGAGGAACAACGCATGAATTCGAATGAACAGTCATCCGTTGTCTATTTATGTTTAGCAATGCAAGTGGCAAAGAGCTGTTCTGTGTCTCAGTGGAATTGGGGAAAACACTGAGCTTGCAGTAGAAATATTGTGCCCCACACTTTTTGCAGAAACTAGATTGGGTCTACTGTATACTACTGTATAACCAAATAATACTGTTTACTGCACGTGTAAATTGGAAATTTCAATATTCATTTGCTTTTAACATTTTTAATTTGTCATTATATTTTTAAAGCATAATTTATGTATTTTTTTATTATTTATTATTAAAATTGTACACACTGGAATGGAAAAGTTTTGGGTACCCCTGTAAATTTCATGATTGTCTTATAAATCACTAGTTTTCTGGATAAGAAATTTCAGTTAAATAAAACACATGGGAGACAAACAAAGTGATATTTGAGAAGTGAAATAAAGTTTCAATTTAACGGAGGGTGAACATTTCTTCGGAAAGTTTGCAAGAATTATTTAAATAAAATTAGGCATGCTCATAAATTCAACACAAAAGATTAATTTCTCAGCAACATTTGGATGGTACGGTCAGAATTTGGAATTAACAACATGAAAGTATTGATCCATCCTGCCTTGTATCAACGTTCAGCCTAGTAGTGGTAGGGTAATGGTGTGAAGCATATTTTCTTGGCCCACTTTGACTAACATTATTACCAATTGAGCATCGTGTCAACACCACAGCCAGTATTGTTGCTGACCATGTCACTCCAAGTCATAAAGCGCGAATAATCTCAGATTGGTTTCTTGGACATGACAAAGAGTTCACTGCACTGTTATTTTGTATCATATTCTATGTATGGATACATAGATACATGGTTACAGTGTTGAAACTCTCTCCCTTCCGAAATAACCATTACTGTGGTGTCCTTGAGCAAGTCACCAGTTACCACAGCTCCCTGGGCGCAGCAGCCATGGCTGCTAACTGCTCCCGGTGTGTTTATTCACTGCTGTGTGTGTGCACTTGGATGGGTTCAATGCAGAGCACAATTTCCTTTTATGGGTCATTCCATACTTGGTCCTAATGTCACTTTCTTTCTATTAATTATCTTAAACTGGTCATCTTTGTGTTGATACTTACAGTGCAATTATGACATAATTCAAAACTATGAGCACAAGTGAAACTATAAGAAAAGTTTTGGAGTATTTTAATTGAGTATTTGTTTAGTCTGAAGTGCGATAAAGCTAATCCATAACGTACATTACAATATATTTATTGGTCCAAAATGATGAGAGATCATTAAAATGAGAACTCACCAACATTTATCGCCCACCCTCGATCTATTGCCAGCTTTCCAGCCTAGGTTTGAAAACAGATAGAAAGATTAAAGTAATTAAAGGAACAAATGAAAATCAAAGAAACTTGGCTCTTACTGGTAGAATATATAAGATTTTCTACTAAAATAGCAGAAACACATTTGATATGTTTTTGAGTATCATTAAAATAGTTAACATATATTTTTGTAATAAGTAACTCTGGCTAATTACTAAAAATCTTGTGTTTTTTTCAATCAATATCAATCATGGTGTCCATATGAAGTCATTAACTGAGGGGTTTGATTGAGATTGAGCTGGTGTGTTTTCTGTTGGAGGTAAATAAATGCAGATTATTTTCATGCCTTTAATTAATATATTCAGTGTACATATATATCTAGGGCATTCTAGATGAGGTTTCTGTGATTTGTAAGACACAGTTCAAAGACTGACATTATTGTTGTTTTGAAGCTCCCCCTAACTGTGAGAAATTACAGTCTACCTTTAAGCAAAAAGAGGATACAGCATTATATAAACCTCTTTATTTTGATCACTCATTACAAATCATTTCAACATCACACAAAATAATACAGGCACATGTTTTCTTTCAATGCTTCAGAAAACAAACGTACCCATCAAGTGAAGCTTTATCTCAAATTTAAAAACAAATCTTTCTTTTACTCATTCATTTAGTCATTTTTCCATCAAATATTCTATCTTGTAATCTGTCTTTCCTATGATTTACTTTATTGAAAATGGGAAAAATCCAATCTACAGAGCACAAGTAATGACAGAGGAATAACAGGAAATGGCTTTAAAATGCCGTTTCCATCAGAGCATGGGTTATCACAGATAAGACCATATTCCGAGAGCTGGATTCCAATGAGCTTTGCAATAAAAAGAGAACTTGATGCCGCTTTGTTGAAATAATAATCAGCTTTTCGCTTAGCTTTCAAAATGAAAGCAGATCACATGTTCTTTTATCACTTTGTCTTGTCAAAATGGCTTCTACCAGCTTTTGAAAAGTCCCAAGTGGTAGGAACATTTCAACATAACAATATTCTTCTATTTTAAGCACTCAGTGTTGCTCTGATTATATTTCATCTGAATGGTGGTACCAGCTTGAGTATGTGCAACATATACATTTACACCGTGCATTAAGTGGACAACAAGAAGTGGAGGTACCCTCTATCATGGAGGTTGAGGTTGATTAAATGCAGAGATTCCTGAATGTAAATGTGGCTCAGTGGCTCCTCGCTCTGTTCATCATAAAGCAATTTAAGAGAGATGGAGCTCAGGTCAAATATCCCATATAACTAAATTGAGTCATATTTTGACTTTGTACATTCAGTTGTTTCTAATAAGAGTCTACATTTAAAAAATTGATTTCAATTGATTTAAATGTTAGCAAAGAGGCGACTAACAAAAGTATAACAGAATTTGTCACATTTTCTTGAATTAGAAAAACAAAGAGCTTCTGAAATTAAGTGTAATTACATGAAATATGGAGATCAAAAGAATCTTAAAATATACATAGAAATAATATAACCAAAAACAATTCAAACACCAATATATTGAAGGTTCTCATCAGTGGATGTATCACTTGCACAGTAGTCATGGGAACCTCCTCACTCCTCAACTTATTAGCTTGAGTCATTCTAGCCCTCTGCATTATGGTGGCTGTGTGAGGTGTCTGCCTATACAGAAATAGTTTAGTTGCCTATAAATAAAATATTTCAGTAAATTAAGTTCTGGTGCTGTGAAATCCCTGCAGTTTGGCAAGGGTTTATACAATTCACTGATTAAGTCCTTAGGTGCATCTTTGAGAAACCTGAGATGGAAGTATGAAATTGAGCACCATCCTCCTGCAGAAATTGGCCTCTTCTGTGTGGTTGGGAATATAAGAGGTAGCTAAGATTTCTTCACACCCTTATACTGGATGTAACTCCAGACCATGATTTTTCCACCACCAAACTTCACTATTTTCTGGGTTTCTCCATTATTTAGGGTGACTGTGGTGTACTTAAACAGAAGATTCAGCTGAAAAATCCACCATTTTACCAGCATCCACCAGCATACTGTGGGCCTTCGAACATGGAGGCTATTTCGAGACAGAATCCGACAAACAGTTGTGGTTGACACAGGGACATCAGGTGATCAGCTCTGCTACAGTGGAAAATGGGCTGGCTTTGGACTTTCGAGCCAACGAACTGTCCTCTCCAGCAGATATCTTGCGGAGTCTGCCTGAGCTGGGCACATTGGAGGTGCCAGCCACATCAGCAGTGGATCTGGTCTTCAGCCTCTTGATAATCAACACTTCAGTCTCAGGGTGAATCTTGAGAGTGGTGAAAGTTTGAGAGGTTTAGTTTTAGAGAAGGTCTAGTGCCTAATTGATCTTAATTGATCCCACAGGTGAAGCTCATATGACTAGGCGACAACAATCTTTGAAAAACTCAAAACTTACAACACTTTCTGACGGTTTAAATTTGCACTGAAACTTTATTACAAAAGCTGTAGGAATTCAAGTGTTCAGGTCAATTTGTACACAAGCGTCAGGGACTGTGCAGCTTTATTTGAACAAATTAAATGATTGTTTTTTATGATCTGCGAGATGCCAAGTAAACATTTTAAAGAATGTCAACACATCTTTAGTACTTTAAATAGACAACACTTCTCCTCTGGAAGCATTGAGAACCACTTGTGAAGCCACACTAAGAGGAGTTGTATGAACACACACGGCAGTACCATTGAGCTCAATCCCCCGGCTGCAGCCAGTGCATGGCTTTGCATAAGGAGAAGGTTATCAGCAAGCCTGGAGCCCAGAGCTGGTCCTAGGAGGCAAATCTCAGCTCGGCTCAACTCTATCTGCTTTTAAAAACTCTCTCTTACTTTCCTCTCTGTGGGATTTTCAATGACAGTGGATTTACCAGGAACTCCAGTATTCAATAGTAGCAGTGAAATTCAAGGACTGAAGAGCGTGCACATTAATATTTTATTTGATAACGTTATGAAAACTGATATTGCACTATAAATAGTCCGTTTGCAGAGCTACAGTACATAAGAAATATTTATTTTTGGATTAGTGATATTTAATAATAGAGGGGTAAATATGAAAAAACTTGTAAAATATTCTTGTGTCGATTTACAGATAATGAGAGAAAGAGGTATTGGACCCCCTGGCCTGCTGTTTTGAAGAAAAAGAAAATATAATTTAGAAAAAAAAAATTGCAGTTTAATCCTGGTTACCCAATCTCACTCTGCATGAAGCACAAATATTGTTGCATAATATCAAGATTTACTCAAATGTAAAAATATTTAATTTTTGTAAAGAATCCTTAGAAAGCCTTTTTATTAAAGTATGGTATTTACATTTACACACATGTATATGTTCATGTTTGAAAAATAATACAATTTATTTCATTTACATTTATGCATTTGGCAGACACTTTTATCCATTTTTGAATGAATGAACACAAATGAACACAATTTTTTTTCCAAGTTCTTGCTTTCCCTGGGATTTGAACATACAACCATGCGTTGTTAGCACAATCATCTACCAACTGAGTCACAAGAAAGCTCCAACTTATAAGGATAGCCCTGTACATAAAACAAGAACTGATAAGTTACTTCTTTACAATAAAAGATGCTTTAGATAAAAGCATATGCGTACATTTATTTGTCATTGGTAACTAGCAAACAAGTATTCTCAAATCAAACAAACTCCATGAAGCCTCATTTAAATATAAGTAGACATAAGTCTTTTAAAACCAGGCTCATTCTTCCTCTAGTACATGGAACACCAAACATTCTCTCTTTTGAACTCATGAGTGCTAGTTGTATGGTGAAAATGACACTGCAACCTGTTTGTCTAATAACCATCAATTAATAAAAACATCCACCACATTTCATATCTCTGAGCTCATTTTACTCGACTCATCTTCGCTATTTAAAGCAAGCGTGCACATCTGATCTCATTCATAATCGTCCCATTAAGACTCTGATAACAAACAAACCCACAACAACAGAGCAGAGATTAATGATATGAGTCTGCCCATTAGGCTAATTCCTCCCTTACGCCTACACCTACAATGGGGGTTTTGTGTAACCTTGAACTTCCTCTGGCACAACCCGAGTTGAAAATGGCCCACACACACTTCCATGTTCCCTGGACCAGAACCACAGATCCATCCGGGCTGTTGACTGCTGACTGAAATGGTAGTCAATTAGCAGGCAGTGAGAAGGGCTCTATGGGAGGTATAATTATGTTCTCGGGCTGAGAGGGACGTGTGGAGCTCACTCATCCTAAGATCGCATGCCACGCAGTGCAGTCTGTCAGAGCGCAGATGCACTGTGGAGAACACCTGGCATTCTGCAAAGTCATTTCCTTGCTTACTGCAGCCTTTTATATTGCTGGAATAACAGAGATGATGGGAAGATTCACTATGGGGAAGGAAGTCCTCCAAGATGTTACTGTTGGGAGGAGACTGACACAGGCATAATTTAAAAGAATGGCACTGGGTTGTGAACATCCAAAAAGGCAAATCTGGGATAATTAAAAACTAAAAAGTCCAGATTTGTTAAGGTTCAATACGACTGAAATCCATCTCAAGGGGCGGTGTTATATTTGTTGAAAAAATTTGTGAAGTCACCAGAGAATTTCTCATTTTCAAATGTGTATATTCTCATTTAGCGTCTAAGAACTTTCTGGAAATGCAATTACATAGCAGTTATAGCATCACTCATGTGCGTGTGTTTGTTCAAGTCAAATCAAATCAAAATATCTTTCTAAAGTGCTATGATTGTAGGCGGAAACTGAGGACAAGCCACTGGAAAAGAACCCAAACTACATGAAGAGATACTTGAACTCCCCCCAGAGTTCTGTCTGTGGGTGAGTACAGGTGGTAACAGCCACAATGGTGAAGTGAAGCTTGACGGACTACTGACTAGCCCTTGACAGACTGCTCCAGTGTTTTATTTGGGAATAGCATCCTGTATTGGCATTTAAATATTAAAATATATAAACAGAAAGGAACAAAATTTTCAAAGGAACAAATATGGTTCGATCAATTTGAGCTGCTCTGAACAGTAAAGGCCTTTACACATTAGGCGTGATTTTAACATGCATTTGTGATAATGGATTAATATAATATAATGATAATATATTTTGAAACAATACTTGTTACTGTCCCATTTTACTTCAACTGCATCATTTTATCAGTGCAAAAAGGCGTAAATTATCTTTTTTTGATCCTACGTCGATCGCACAATTTTAGCCCCAATTTTGAGTCGCCTAAAGTCATTGGCAAATCCGTGCTCATGCACACGACTTCTCACAGTGTGAACTACCAAACACATACTATGAGAGAGCTACAGGTTGGTTAGTCCATTAATTCCGCACAATCGCGCTTCAGTTCCAACAGAAAAACACCATGCAATTACATTGAGATTTATTCTGTAAATGTGTTTCCATCAAAGTTTATGCACATTTCTCTTATAGGATAAAAAGAAGACCCTTTTTCACAAGTTGTGTGTGATTCTTCCCAATGTCATGCAGTGTGAGATTCCCTACTCTGAAAATACTGTATGATTTCAAATATCCATTTTCCATTAGAATTTTTTTGAGATTATACTGGGAAATTGTGAATCTTAAGTATAAGTGGTTACATTTTACATAATTCAAAAGATAACACTATATCAATCTTGATAAAAGTCTAAGAAGGGGGCGGACCACCAGATAATTTATGCATTATTCTCAGGACTTATTTCACATTAAGTCCCTGTTCAGGTTAGACAAGCTCCTTATGGATAGATTATGAATCAAAAAAATCTTACTCAAACTCTCACTTCAATCTCTTCTGCATCTCCTAAAAATAACAAATTTCTCTTAACGGAGAGAAGCAAAAACTTGAGCAAATATGTGCCTTCCTACAATGTCACAAGGGCTTCCAGGGTTCATTATACAATCACCAACAACTGTTATCTCATGATGATAGCAGCTTTTACAAACACCTGATGTAGAATAGCTCAGACTTGGTGATGGAACTACCCCATAACAAAATAATTAAGCCCAGAATTAGTCTTAATTCCATTACGGTTTAAGCTTTGTTATTTCATCTCGCCCACATGGGAAATAACGTCACCTGTACTTCCCTTGTATTCTCAAATTTGGCTCTGGAGGACCAGTGTTCTTATAATTGATCAGCATAAACTTATATAAATAGAATTAATAAACAGGTTATACACTTATAGGTCACATTTTATCTTAATTAATATTTTACCATTTCTACATTAGGCATGAGAACATAACCGGTTTAAAAAAAAAAACGTAAACAAAAACGATAATTGCATTTTTTTTAGAAAGCGCAGACATATCCTTGTATGTCGCCACTCCAAACTTGATTCAGGAAAGGTGAACATGCTCACAGTCCTGCATTTTAACTTTGATTGAAAACAGAATAAAAAAAAAAAAGCTGCTAAAATGACTACATTTATTTATTTATTTATTTATTTAGTTATTTATTTATTTATTTATTGTTTTTGGAACTGTGCCAAATGGACATGCTTTTTTTGTTTGTTTTGATAAGTGACTGCATTCTTGTCCATTTAGAAGGATTCGTTTTTAAAAAAGTTATTCATGTTGATTATTGTTGAGCTGCAAGTTTAGGTTCACACAAGTGACTGCAATTTTATTTATTAAGAAGATTTCAATTATTTATTTTAATTATTTTGCCTGACTAAAGTAAAAAAAAAAGTTTCCTAAAATACAATATATGGTTGTTTTCGTACCAAAATATTTAAATATAACATTGAAGAGCACTAATTACAATACCGTGAAACCATGATATTAGAATCCAAGGTTATCACACCTTCAGAATCTTAAACCAGCCCATGCCTAGTGCACACTGTTTTTCAACTATATTTTCATTAATCAAAGCATATTTATAGTCAACAAAAACTAAGATGTTCTGAAGAGACTCAAAAATCAAAGCACTACTCTGTTCTGTTCTGACTGTATTACATTTCTTTAAGAGATGACATTATTTAAATCAGAAAACCTTTTTAGGTACATAAGGAACTGTCAAATGTTCAAAACTGTCAAAACCTAGCAGCGTAAAAATGTAAAAAAGAAACTTCTAGAAAATAAACAATAAAAGCTTTTTGGTAATTACACAAAATTTAGTTTGTTCCTCTGCTTCACTCTCAAAGTAGCAAATAAAAACAGTTATTGTTAATGCACTTCTTCTACCAGAGAGAAAGTCCTGTGAGCATCTCTATCACAGATGTTCAGAGCCTTTCCTGCCGGCTGTTCCTCCCCAGGTTATTTCAACTTCTGCCAACGAGGCCCAAACTAGGCCCACACAAACAACTATCTGCCACAAAAAAATGTTGCTATTTTCAAGTAAAACTTTGGACAATCCTCTAGGGAACTCCATTGCCTGAGCAGGATGATGACTCACTGTACTATATTCTATAAACACACGGCATTACTGTTTCCTTTTCTATTGCAATGCCTCTGTGCCACTCAATCCCACACAACTAAGCCTTTTGAGTCCCACAGAATCACAAAAGGTGCTACTTGATTAAGGCAAGGAATTTATTTTGGAGAACTTTTGTAGAAATTAGACAATAAAATCCTGTCAAGGAAATTTCAACTCGAAATGCATTCGAATGATGTAATCCCATCGAAGTTGTTTCTCTACAGTCAGCTTATAAATATGTGAAAATCTCTCAGAATCCTTTTTACATTTTTTAAATGAAATGCATTTAATAGTTTGTACAAGATATAAGCCATGAACACAAGCACACTTGTATTCTCCACCCTCATCGTCAAGTTCTCTCTCATTGGTACATTGTTTTCTCGTTCATAAACTGCATTGCAAAAAAAAGAGGGTGAAACCTACCATGATAGTTCCCCCTGTTTGCATTCTCAAAGGTCTCAGGACTTTGCGCTGTACTAGGAAATTGGGCAGGAATAGGAGAGGTGGGATTTCTGTGATGGTGGCAACAACCACAGACCACTGAGAGAGATAAAGAAAAGTAATGATGTTAAAACGATCATGCACTTTCATCATGGAAATGCTATAAATTCTTCGAAACTACTTGCAATAAATAAGCATAATTCAGAACAACAGCAACACAACAATCGTGAGTGGATCCTTAAATTAAGTTGGGGGGAGGGGTGCAATACAGTAAATGATGCAAATGTTATTTTAAAGGAAATGAAGACTGGTGGCAAAATGTTAAAGCAGAATGAATAAGACTGTACTGTGGCACAAATAATACAGAGCAAACAGTGTGAAGCATTTCTAAAAGATTTGGTCACAGTAGACTTTCTATACCTCTCTGGAGCCATCCATGATAGCGTTCTGCATGCATTAAGGGAAAGAAAGAATACATACTGTACACAAAGCCGGTTTAAAGATGGATGAGGCTTTATTTTGTTTGCTTTATTGGCAAAATCAAAAGAGTTGCATTATAGTGTGAGTACAGAGTGGTATAGTTCGTGACAAGAACTATAGGAAGCACAGGGAACCCAGTTTCTTGAGCTTGCAGGTTGTTACCAAGTCCCTTCCCC